TACACTAAGCACCATCATTTACACCCTGATCAGCCCTAACTTAAGTCCCTGACTGTCACATGGATTATGCCCTAGAGGAAAAAAGCCCATGATTCAAAACACTTTACTTTCAATTTAAATAAGATGTGAGAATGAAGATATTTCAATAAATCACTGGTTGATATGGTCTGTAACAAGAACAAAATAGTTTCTCAGCTTCATAAACATGTAATATTAATTAATTTAATTAATTAAATACCATCTATACCAGTATTTTGCCCCAACTGATAGTTATCTAATGTCTGATATGCAAGAAGCATCCTGTAATAAAAATCTGCAACTAGTGGTTAAGAGAGACATTTAAAATTAATGCACTTTGATCATGGCCTCCCCTATTATCACTAACACTAGTTTGCCCAGGGTGGCATACCAAGAACCCCATAAAATGTCTTGAACTATTGTGAATGCATTTCAGAGACTGACTGATAGGCAAAGAGTCAGAAAAAAAATTGTTTGTGAAGAGTATCCCTACCTCCCTGTAATGGCATTTCATAAGATATTTGACTCGTCTGCATGATGTTCCCTATAGCTTCTACTTAAAGCACAAAGAATATCAGGCTGGGCTGCAGAGACAACAATGGGAAGGACCTCTGCATACAAACAGGAACACCTGCAAAGAACAGAGAAATTAAACAGCATAAATTATTTCCATGCAGGTTTTTCCAAAGCCGATGAGGTGCAATTTCTCATTAACTGAGGTCTCCCTCCTGACAGTACAAATTTCTTTTCTACTAAAAATGCCCCATTTCCCCCCAGTGTATCCTGACCCACTTAGACAAAAGCCAGTATTCAGCCTGGCCATGCAAACTATTCTTGAGATCCCACCTTATTCTCCAGCCCTGCAAATGGAAATCTGATAATAAAATCTCCAGACCAACTCCCCTAGCTACGCACAGCCAGGGGAGAATTATACCACTATCTTCTCTCACTCAAATCTCCCTAGCCAGGAAAAAAAGGTTCAAATAAAGAACTAAATGAGTATTAGAGAACTAAATGAGTATTAGCAGCTCCCTTGCCAATGTGGGAGAGAGAAAAAAATCAAGGATGCTTAATGAACCATATTATGTTTTTCAGATTTCAAAACACTGCCATTTCAAGAGATGTGAGATTTGAAGCCCTAATTAAGTAATATGCATAAATTTAAAGCAAATGTTCACAGAGTCCACATCTCCAAACCACAGCTGATTTGGCTAATGCAACACTCCACTCCTTCCAGCAGAAGTAAATTTTAGCAGAGGACAACCTCCACTCTTGGCTAACCCACTCCCCAGCTCTAAACCCCAAAGTTTCTTCTGAAGAAAATCCTCCCCCCCACTTTCTTTCCTTTCTCACCTCTATTCCCTCCCTGTAATTCAGAGAAGACTGTGTTTGTGCTTCTGTTTGTTTGTTTTTTTTTTTTTAAATAAAAGTGACTATTCTAAATGAGTGTGGTTCCTACAAGGCCACCTCTTACAGCTTTTCATTGCAAAACAGCGTCCTTCACCAGAGGTTCATTTCACTCATGACTCTCTCATTACAGGTCTTATGAAAATTTAATAGTTTTGCCATCTCATTTTCAGCCTGTAAGACTAGGAAGACACAAGGAAATTTCTTTACACTAGCTTTTAAGGCAAAAATCAAAGAATCCAGGAACACTCAGGACCATATGTGCAAAGAGCAATACTGCACTTCAATTCCACGACACAAAGACAATAATTACACAGGAGGTGGGAGAACAATTATTTAAACAGGTCAGATTCTGAAAAGATACAAATTAGTGAAACACTTGTGAGGATGAAGAAAGAGATAAACAGGTCAACTCTGGATTTTCACTGCATTTATTTCACAGGAAATAGTCCTGTTCTTAGTTGTTTGGTTTTTTCAACCAAATCTTTCAAGAAAAAGTAAGAATGAATTATGAGTGAGGGGCCTGTTGCTACCAATTTTAACTGCCCTAAACAGTTGGATTTGTTGCTCTTGGTTTATATTTTTACATTTTTGGATCCTAAAAGACCCATCTTCTCCCCCCAGCTGTGCAGGCAAGAGGAGTTGAAGGAGTGACCCGAGCTGGTTTCACTATGTTTCACCAGTGCTTCAGGGGACTGGAAGACACAAACAATGAAGGCAGACACGATGTTTTACACAAGAGAATGTTGCTAAAATTAGAACCAATGCAAACAGAGTTGGGTTTTCATGAAAGACTTTCATGACTATTTTGAGAACTCCTTTAGGAAAAGGCACACTTGGAGATTTAAAGCCATCTAGGCAACCTCTCACAACTGTACTGTGAGAAAACTATTATTAAGAGGCATCAAACTACAGAAGACATCATTTGATTCTACAAATTAAGATTTTCTGTGACAGCCAAGGCTTGTTGGTCTGATTTCCAAAGCCAACTAGACTATGCAACTCAACAAAAAAAAATAGATGCTGCATTGTGGAAAACCCAGGGTGTTTTCCAAGCAACTTTGATTTGCCTATGCTCAGAATAGATCGAACCAGACTGACTTCCCGCAAAACAGTTTCAAGGAAAGTCCTTGAAAGGCCTCTTGATTTCTACAGTGCAGGTAACAGCATCTCCATACACTTTCATGACTCATGGTGACACATATATATTAGCTTACACGGGCTTATGAGACCTGACATTAAACTATTTTTGGTTCACTTTTGGGCTACTTTCTTACTCACCCACACAGAACAATAAAGTGAATGAAAGTGTGTCTTTTTTTTTCTTTTTTTTTTGGATATGACCTCAACTCCCTGAGCCTAGGCTAGTGCTATTGTAAGCGCTGCATCATTTAATGACGTTCACACATTTTTCTATCTTAAAAGTAGGTGCTTTTTTTGGCTGCAACAGACCCAGAACAAATTCTTCCAGAACCTCACCTCTGGACACTTCAATTTTCCTGCCTAAATGTATTAATGACCATTTTACTTCCATCTACTCCTGAGCTAATTTCTTCTCACTGGCTCTCACCATCAGATGTATTTATCGACATGGACCATATCCCCTCTCAGCTTTTGGTTTTTTTGGATTAAAAAAGCAAACTTTCAGTCTCCTTCTGCAAAACCAGTACCCTGTTTCTACCAGCTGACCTCTGCGTCTGTTAAATTAGGGTCCATCCTTCCCAGCTTCCCTGCTCCCCAGCACCACAGCCCTGCAGGGTGACAGTAAGCTGCTGGTCCTCCTGCACCAACATCCTTCTCCCTGCTTCTTCCAAAGAGCTGCTCTTATTAAAAGTTATGGGTATCAAACAGCTAAATCTGTAACTCTTGCATTTCACACCACTGGATTTCACACCACTTTAACTATGCCAGTGCTCAAGGTACCCCAGCTTTCCATGAAATGTCCCTCTCTCCCTGGACCAACAACATTTACCACTTCTGCTGTGTCTTTTAGGAATAGTCACACTCTCGTTGTGACTCTTAACAGGGTTAAAACAGATTAGTTTCAAGCGATCCTTTGAAAACCCACTGGCATTCTCCTCTCAGCACAGTGACTTCTCCTTTCAGCACAGCCCATCATCATTCCCATTCCCATCAGTTCCCAATCACTGTAATTAATAGGAACAGCAAAACACACAGAATGTGTTAGATCAAAGGTCCCTATTGCCCAGCAGCCTCTTCCTACCAGGGGGCAGTAGCAGACATATAACAGCCAGGAAAGCATACAGAAACTATACTGAAGGGTGTTGCTATTTCATATTACAGGTCTTGTTTAATTTTTCTCTTATGAATTTGCCCAAATATTTTTCAAATCCAGTTAAACCTTTTAGTATATAGAACATTGGCATTAGTAAATCCCAGAGTTTAATTTGAGCTGACTTGCAGTGACGAGTTCAACCTTTGATGTTACTTCAGATATTTAATGAAAGAAGTGTAGTTTTAGTCCATCCAAAGCTTTCAGAAGAGAACACTCATGCATCTGTCTTATTAACAAAAGACCACTACATTAGTCTAGTGTAACCTACTTTTGGTGCTATCATGTCATACATATTTTTTCATATTTGCTTTAGTAGCTTTGTACAGCATTGCAACTTGTACTAAAGAAGGAGACTGGCATGGGAGGATGAGAAGCACTGAAAATTTTGTCCATCATATTGGTAGGTATTCCCCCTCTCACAGGATCACCCTGACTGGGTAGGAACAGATCCTAGATTTCTTATATCTTTATGAGGACTCCAGCACAGAGACTGGCTGAAGCCAGGAGGGTCAGCTAAGCCAGGTTCATTTCCGCCTTGCCTACAATGCAGTTTGGTTTTTTTAAACTGCATGCCCCCATCACCTATTTTGCCATTGCCCTTCTATCTCCTTCACTGAAATCTAACACAAACCAAATATTTAATCCTGGAACCATGTTTATAGTTATTTTCTTTTCTATCCTACTGACCTGTATGTACATGTAAAAGAACCTTTTACTTCACATACTTTGGAGTTTGCAACTAAGCTTGAACAGTTGGCAAACCCTCCCTGTTTCTACACTTCCTGACATATCAGATTTTTTCCATCCCCAAAGACTTTTTGCTTATTCCTAAAAGCCTTTCTGAAGCAGTTATTTGTCCAAAGAAATACTGAGCCCTTCCTATATGTTTTCTTCTCACTTGCTTGGACTACTGACTTTGTTTAGGCAGGAGAACCTTGGGTTTACATAAGGCTCCAGATCCCCTCCAGGGTTACACCCAGGAGCTTTCCCCTGTCCAGGGACTCCCTTACATATCACAAATGGAAGAGCTGGAGTTGTCCTGGTTACTGCAATGGCAGCAACTTGCAGCCACCTCTAGGAAATTCTTAGGGACAAAACTCACGTGTCATTTTAAGCACTTTTTTTCCCTTAAATCAAATAATTATGTAGCTGTTGTATCTATGACTCCCTAAGTCCTTCTGATTAGCAGCAATTGTTCTCCAAGTAGATCTGGTTATCTAAAGTGTCCTGTAACAATAAACCCAACCGGAAATGGTATCTTTTTAATATGAAAAACCTTCATAGCAAATTTAACCCTTGAATCCTTAGCATACTCTTAGTGCTACCCTGATAGAACTTTCCAGAATAAAATGTAACTTTTATTAGTTTGCAATTGGCTGAAACCTAAAGTGCTGAATTTAGCTTTTCCTGTTTCCCTGATGAAAGGGAAACTTACCTTCACCCATGAGAATCCAAAAACTTATGGATTATTTCAAATTTCATTACATGTCACTGAGTTGAAAGCTTACTTTGCTCCTTATAATTTTGACAACAGCACTACCTAAACTGTGAGTGTTCAAGTGGCTTCAAATAAAGACTTAAGACTGAGGAGGGCAGAAGAGATTCAACACATTTCAAGGCCAATCATTTTTTTCCAGTATGCTATCACATGAGCATTAAAAAAACCCCCAACACTATCAAAAGAACAGATGAGGCAGCACTCATCTGAAGATTATTACTCTGAGACTCAGGTCAAATTTGCACCTCGCTTCCATCAAGCCTTTTCTTTTTTTCCCCCTCATGTTTTCTACTTGCATGCTTGCCAATGAAGTGCAAAAGGTTAACATTTACAGTGATTTTTATTATACCAACTTTTAAATAATTACAGATGTAGTCAGAAGCTTTGTACTTCTATGTTTAT